GTTTATCCATGAGTGACTGACTAACAAATGAGGCCTGACTTCCGCAGTCTAGAAGGGACCTAACCTCCATAGATTTATTTGTGCAAGGATTTATCAACCTTACAATAGCAGTACATAGGAGGACTTGAGTCCTCTCGGCTTCATGGGTAATCGAGGCATTGACCGAGATGTTTGCGCTCGAGGTCGCATCGCTACTCTTTACATTAGCTAAGTGTAGAAGTGTGTTATGTTTACGTTTGCATTCTCGGCAAGGACCTAGCTTGCAGTCCTTTACACTATAACCGAAGGCAGTTTAGACATAATTGAAGCTTAGAGGCTTCGGCCTTTCGCTCAGGAATACTTTTTCCTAGGAATATGGGACAATCATAAATCCTGTGATCTTGCTTGCAGATCACACAGGAAACCTTATATACTTGCGAAGTGGAGGCCAAAGTTTTTATAACGTGTGAAGAGTTACGATTGGTAGAAAGCATTGGCACTGATTTAGTCTTATCACAATTGCTTGGAAATATTTTATCTAAAACATTAGCCCGATCAGTCAAAAATTTATGAAATTGTTTTAAAAAGGGATAAACATCTTGAAGTTCGTTGCGATATTCCTCCCACTTTACAGTAGTGCGTTTATCAAGCTTAGAGGAAATTAGGTGAATTACAAGTGTGTCCCAATGCTCAACGGGTTCGCCCAAACTAGATAAAGCTCTTAAATTTTTTGTTACATTATCAACTAGGGAACGTAGTGAATTATTAGACTCCCGAATAATACTTATGTTGCATAGGGCGTCAAGGTGATGATCTATGAGCGCACGCTTGTTGTTGTAACGCTCGCACAAAAGCTTCCAAGCGGTTTCGTAATTGCTTTCAGATTTACCCAAATTAGATATAATTTGAGCCGCCTCACCTTCCAAATAACTTTCTAAATAATGAAATTTGTGAATAGGTTTAACACGTTCGTTATTATGAATTAAGGATAAAAAAGTATCACGAAACTCAAGCCAGCGGAAATAGGCTCCATCAAATTTTGTTATCTGTATTTGTGGAAGCTTGAATTCTGAATGATTACAATGGAATGAATGATCGTGCTGAGACTGAGACGAGTCAAGCGACCTGGGATTGTTTATGTGCTCATTCGATTTATCTAAAAACTCCTGCGCAGTGGCAAGATGAAAGGTAAATATCTGCTCGATATCATCACGCTCATCAATCTCATTGCTCATATTTTCACAGTTTAAAACCTCTATTTGTTCATGTAATTCATCGAATCTATCTCGCATAGCCCGTAGTTTCTCAATATTAATTTCTAATTCTTTAATTTGAAGTTTTGTTAAAGTTAATGGAGATACTAAATCTAAATATTTTTTAAACTTTGTGAGCCGACCTTTAACGGAACTACGTTTAGCTAAAAGCTCCTTCAGTTGCTTGGTACTGACATCCTCACTCACAGACATATTGCAAAGATAAAATTAAATTCTTGGTAATAGTTGTGATTAAATAACAATAAGGCAAAGTGAGGTTCAATTATAAGTTACGTTATGCGCTAACACAATGAAGGAATAAAACTATAATTAATTGATACGCCTTATCTGATACTCCTGTGTCCGGGGCACGGGGACGCCGGCGTTTGGTCTGCCGCTCGAGGCCTGGAGGCCTGGAGCGCCGCTGCAGCGCTGCAACGCAGCAGGCCGCGGCGACTGAGTAGCTATTCAGCGCGGCGCTGGAAATAGTCGGCATAAAACGATTTGAATTATTCTGTTTCCAACAATAGCAACAGTTTAGAACTAATTGGTGGATATATTATGTTGTTGTAGTTAGATTAGGAAACCGTGAAACGTTATTTATTGCTTAATTAAAATTGTTGAATTACCTAACATATGAAAAAAAAAAAAGATAAGTGATTATACTTGAATTTCGTACGGTATCTGTGAATTTATTTTAATTTTATAATCTTAGGCGATTATACTATTTTATTGAGCTTTACCTTGTGAATACCGTGTTATTGTGTTAATTGTTGTAATATAGCATAAAACAATTGCGTAGTTAAGGCTATATAAATAAGTAACCTGTTTAGACGGAAGGGGTAAATAAGTAAAGGTCAAAGTGTCAAAAGGAGGGCACTTAACTGATAGACGTGATGATTCCAGACGCTGCTGCTACAGCTGCAGAGATCTCTGTCACCTGTTTGTCGTGTTCACGTTCCTCTCTTGTAAAGGATGACCTCTGCATTCACTGGAAGTGACTTGTAAAATTGTTTTGTAGAATGTGGACGTTGAATCTTGACGAATCCAAGGCTGGGCGCGGCGCTGGGTTTGCTGACCGACCTGGCTAGCTTAGTCGTAGTTTCTTGTCCTTTAGTTAGAATGTTTGAAAATCTTAAGTAGCGATTTTTCTTAGGTATTATTGTACGATGATTTGATTGTCCTGTCACGGTCGCCAATTAATGTCTCGTAGGGGACATTTGGAAGTTTAAAATTGTAAACCTCGGTTTTTTGATGTAAAAATCTTTTTATTTCTTGTGCTAATGTACAGTACAAAAGGTCTGTGTTGGATTGCCTTGACATTCTTAACAATGTATTAAAAGTAAAAAATAGTGGGTAGTGAGTAATACGACTATGATGCGTTCCGTTACAGACAAAGTCTATGCGCTTAGACACGTACGATGTACTAATAGGTACTAGTACTGGGTGTTGTACTAAAAGTAATGTTTCCGAAAGGCAGCTGTTAATCGGACATTTTGCACTGTTAGTACACAGTGCCAACTTCAAGCCAGTACTAAAACTATCTATTGTTTACTCTGTCTACTAGTGTCTACGTTCGTTCGCTGTGCGACGTACTTTAATTTACGTATTTTAATTTATTTAATTATTAGTATTCCGTTTCATGAATGTTGTTAATATCAATACAAACGCTTAAGTTTTCTACTTCTACTAAAACTGTACTAATAGTACTATTACGGTGTGCTAGTACGTTGTACGAATTGTACTAGTACGGTGCGAACCTGTAGATGTCCGATTAAGCACAAGACGGTAAATAATTTGCACGTTCCGTTACAGTTTACAGTTAATTATATTTCATATACCAGAAATTATATATACATACAATCCTATTTATTATATTTTATTTGAGGCAGGCAACAAGATTAATGAGTTTACATGGTTACACTTGCCAATAGTAGGTGTAATGTATTCAAATTCACAGTAATTATGTGTGTTTGAGATTACTATTTTTTAAATTAACTGCGTGGAACGGAGTAATAAGTTTCATCATGTGGAAATGTAATTGAGAACATATGTAGGTGCTTAAACTTCCTTCTAACAACGCTTTTCGCTTTTTTACAACAATGCTGCCAAACATCAACTTATAGCATAATTACCAGCTTTGTATTTCACGCCAAATCGGCCGTGTTTCAATTATGGGGTAGATTTTGCGAGTCCAATTAACTTAAGAACAAAAGGTAAAGCAAGTTACGTTTTTGTTGGGCTTGCAGAAGCAGCGCTAAAAAGTATAGGGTTTCACCTTAAAATAATTGTTTTAAATGCTCATGAGCAGTTAAACACTGTGGCTCAACTCACGCCCTATTCTGCCCCTCTCCGAGGATATTAAAAATGATTGCTACCTTACCCCTGGTCACTTCTTGGTAGGCTCTGGAAATGTAGTCTGAACACAATGTTTCTGAATGTAATGTAAATAGACTAAATTCCTGGAAAAAATGCACTCAGTTACTGCAAAGGTTCTGGAATGCTTGTTATAAATATTATTTCAATAGGTTACAAAACAGGAACAATACTGATACCACCTTCAAACCTTCAAGAAAAGAGCGTACTCCTTCCTAAGAGGCCGGCAACGCGTTTGTGACACTTTCCATCAGGTGACCCGTCTGCTCGTCTGCCCCTTCTAGCGTAAAAAAAAAGAACAAGTGGTGTGAGTGTATGCCCAATATAACTGAAGGAGCACTTGTATTGATGAGGGAACCCAATTCTTCTCCCTTCGCCTATAGATAATACTAAATGAAAACAGTTGTAACATTAGTACTGTCGCTATTGTAGTTGGCTTAAATAACTGACCATTGGGTCCGAACCTCCATACTAAAAAATGTTTATTTTAAGATTATGTAATTAAGCAGTTGTTTATGTTTGTAATATTTCTTTGGTGCTCATGTTTATGTTCATAATACTTTTCTATGTATAAAAAAGTTTTGCCTATACTTGTCAATATGTTTATGGCAATCATAAACAAATATTTTGTTTGTTAATGTGACTATATTATAGTTCAGAATAATTCGTGGTCGTGTGTGTTAATGCGTGTGCTTTCTTTGTCAAGACCAATAAAAATACCAAAATCCCATAACCAAGGATTATTCAATCTTCTTTATAAAAGATTGTTAGAGGCCATCTCTGTTGAAGGCTACAAATACGAGTAATACTTAACATTTACTTTTAGGTCGAGTATAGTATTCATTTACGATTTCTTGAACATATGGAACTCCAATCTCTGAAAGTACGAAACTTATTTCTAAGTAATTTTATTCATATGGTAGCCAATATGTCTAGGTCTCTTTTAGGAATTTGCAGTGGCCATGAATCCAGGGCAACGGTTAATATTCGTCTTCAATGATTAAACCTATCAAATAGTTTTAGTTTCTTTTTTAATGTTTTTCAAATCTATACATAATCTCATCAATCATCAACAGCCTTTACTAATCCACTTCTGAACATAGGCTCTCCTTAGAAAATAGGTTTTGGCCTACTATACCACGCAGCCCAGACGGGTTAGTCTAGGGTTTGTTTCAAGAGTTCTTTCTCTTTGCAGTGCACATGTCCTGCATAGTTTCTTCCCTTAGTTGGCTCTTACGACACCCACGGGGTGGCACCACCCAGTTAGACTCTGTATTCTTAATCCGTCACCACATGTCACGTCATACATGCTCTATCTACTCCTTATTCAATATTCAAATAAGTCTATAATCTTTTGTATTTAATTATCGCTGCAAGATCTTTCATTGCGCGATGCAGGATACGTCCAACTGCGTCATCATTGCGGAGGAACAGGCGTTATATCCATCTAACGAAAAGGGTGGCTCCTCCATCCAGGCAAAATGATCATGGCTGGTCTCCACAATACTTTACAGATGCAAATAATTATATAAATGGCAAGGCAAATGATACTTTCGCGACTATCATATTTTACTGTAGTTTACAATGCACAAAATTATCATAATGTATTACTTTAATAAGCCAGTTTGCATTCAGCTTTAAACTAATTCAATATTAAAAAATCTCCATTTATTTTCATACTTAGCAGTTAACAGGATTAGAATAATTTAAGACAATAATATTAAACTTAATGATAATAGTTACTGTTAGGTTAGGTTATAGTTGTATAAATAAAGAATAAAGTCGTTTCACTATCACATTGTGAGTTGAATTGGCCCTCAGTTATGCTGTTGCTAGTGTCAATAATTGTGATAATATTCCTTGTAGTGAGGCGATGGAAGATACAGAAATTTGTGGAGCTATCCAAAGAATTGAAATGTGGAATCAAGAGTTACCCGCTGATAGGGCACGCACATTTGTTAGCTGGAGGTGGTGTCAGTAAGTAGCAAAAGAATAACTACCAATAAAGCTTTTTCCATCGGGTATAGATTGATTAATTACATTTTATACATTCAGTCAAAGAATGGATGATTTGTTCATAGTTCCAAATTCAAATTTTTGTTTTTTTTGTTGTTGTTAGATTGGCACAACTCTTTTCCATATTGGCGCGGAGTTTAAGTTGCATCTGTTATTTATATTAAGTACAGTGCTGTTTTTAGTTATATCATATCTAGTGTGTATTGCGAATTTCATAATGGACAAAAATATCGAACAAAGAATTTATCTTAAATTTTGCATCGCCAATGGAATTTCGTGTTCGGAGTCACTGAAAATGTTACAGAAGGCTTACAGTGAATCGACTTTATCAAAAACACGTGCTTATGAGTGGTACAAAGCGTTCAAAAGCGGTCAAGATGTGATGGAAGATTTGCCTCGCTCTGGTAGGCCATCGACGTCTGCAACAAAGTGAAGGAAATAGTGACTGAAAATCCTCATTCAACTTTGAGAGGGATAGCCGCTGAACTTTCTGTATCTCACGAGTCGATCCGTATCATTTTAACTAATCATTTGGGTATGAAACATGTTACCGCTCGGCTAGTCCCAAAAGACCTGAATTGTCTTCAAAAACTCAATCGCATGAGAGTCGCTGAGGACATGCTAGAACGACTCAATTCCGACCCAACATTCATGAAACGCATTGTTACTGGTGACGAGACGTAGGTTTACGAGTTTGATATGCAAACTAGTCAACAAGCTTCGGAGTGGCGCCTTCCAACTGAACCGAAACCGAAAAAAACACTCCAAACTCGATCAAAAGTCAAAGTCATGTTGACGGTTTTCTTTGTCTACCGCAGTGTTGTGCTCTCGGAATTGTTGCCGGAAGGTCAAAGGGTAAATAAAGAATATTATTTGAGCGTTTTGCTCCATTTAAGAGAGCAAATTCGACGAAAAAGGCCAGATTTGTGGAAAGAACATTCTCGGATTTGGCACCACAGTGATGCGAAGGCATGCCTTCGTACAAGGCCATCACTGTGAACGAATTTTTGACCAAACACTCAACAAATACCACCGAGCAATCACCAGAAATGACTCCAGCCGACTTCTTTCTTTTTCCTAAACTCAAATTACCGCTTCGTGGCACCCGTTTTCAATCGTTAGAAGACATAAAGGAGACTCGATTCCGGTTTCCGGATTGAACTCAATTCCGGAAACAGTGTTTAAAAAATGTTTTGATGAGTGGATTATTCGTTGGTGTAAGTGTATCGTTTCTGAAGGAGCATACTTTGAAGGTGATAAAATAAATTTGGATGAAAAACAAACATTTTGTGTTTTATTGATTTTTTCCGGTACTTTCTTGACAGAGTAGTACATCTTGGTTTCCTATGGGTAGAACTTAATATGGAGGCGTAAACAGGGAGGAGTTTTGGTAGGTTTAAGCCATAGCCATCTTTTGCCCGGCATATCAGATCATCGGCATACAGGTGACACGCACACTGAAGATGTTGAGTTATAAGATTAATAAATATTGAGAATAAAAAAGGAGATAAAATTCCGCCTTGTGGGACGCCAGCGTAGAGGTCGCAACAACTTGATGATCTATCAACAACACGAACATATTGCTGTCGCCCCTGGAGATAGGTAGAGAACCATTCCAGTGTCTCAGAAGGAACCATAAGATATGTAAGAATAGATAACAGGATTTCTTGATTGACGGTATTAAAGGCGTTAGAGAAGTCAACTAATACCAATACTGTGACTTTGGTGTCCTCTATACCCCTTCTAATAGTCACTTTAAGGAGAGCGGTAACTGTGCTGTGACCGGGCCTGAAGCCAGATTGAAAAGGGCTTAAAAGTTGGTTTCTGTATACAAATGGAGAGAGCTGTTTATGTACACAGGCCTCGAGTACTTTAGATAGAAAGGGAATAGAAATAGGTCGAAAGTGTTCAGGAAGTGAGGGGTTATTATTTTTTGGTAGAGGAATAATATAAGCCTTGCGCCACAAAGAGGGGAAGGTATCAGAGTCAAGAGAGAAGTTTATTATGTGAGTAATCACTGAGAGAATACAGTCTAGGATGGTGAGATACCTATGTAGCTAGAGAAACAAGCTAAGACACGTTGTCAAGGCTGTATAATTTGAGGGTTTCCCTCGATTTTTTTAAGATCCCATCACCAGATCTTGATATAAGCTATTTTCAAGGGTCATCAAGAAACGTCTTGCACGAAGACTAGACGAATTCCAACCACCGGGGCAAGCTGGGTTTCAGAGCGGATATGGCACCATAGACCACATCCACACAGTGCCGCAGATTATACAGAAGACCAAAGAATAAAATTGCCTTTCCCTCATCCCTGGTTCAAGACGCCACACTGGCAAGGGCGCTTGCGAATACATTTCTCACTTGTGATTTGCAGATAATATCGTCGTCATGGCAAAGACGCTGCAGGACTTACAACAGATGCTGGATGAGCTAATGGACTCTATACGCATCGGCTTACAGATGGACTTGGATAAAACCAAGGTCATGTTCAAGGAACATGTAGTACTGGAAATTGTGGTACACGATTGCGGTACACTGGGCCGTTGTGGAAGTTATTCAAAAATATGTATACCTCGGGCAGACATTTGATCAGTTCGCTTCCGACCCACTGTCCCATCGCATACCCCGGTAAGGTGACGGCAGGAGGGGGTTTCCGCATGTAAAAAAAAGAGTATGGGTAAATCCTGAATGATAATTTAATAAAATTCGGACTTTTACCCACAAGTCATGGTAATACTAGGTATACCCGGATAACCTAGGTTTAAAAAATCTTCTAGAATTACCCGTATCAATATCTAGTTTCGGTTGGTTAACTATCACATAGTTAGTAAATTTAATAGCTAAAGTATACTAGTCAAACTTGTAAAATCGCGGTGAAAAAGTAGCATGTTAGTCGCTGATTATGTAGCTTGGAACGGTGAAAGAATGTTTAGAATCGCTTTAGTGGTATAAAAGTAAAAGTGTAACAAACAAACAAACCAGTTCACTTTCATATTTATGATATAAGTATGGATATAGTATTCTTCTTCTTCTGTCAGTGTGGTGACGGATTAAGAATACGGAGTGTCACCACCCCTATTCATCCCGTGGGTGTCGTAAGAGGGCGACTAAGGGAGCTAACGTAGGACAACCAGCACTGCAAAGAGAAGGAAAATTTGACACAAACCCTACCTATACCAAACCGTCTGGCCAGCGCGGTATAGTAGACCAAAACCTCCTTTCCAAGGAGAGGCTATGTCCAGCAGTGGACTATTAAAGGCTGTTGTGTTGTGATTCTTCTTCTTCTATAAGTGTTTGGGAGGTGCTGCTTGAGAATTAAAAATCCAAAAAAACATATTTGTAATATCAGTATTGAAGTATGGATTGTAAGTCTCTCAATATTATGTGCATGAACTAATATTAAAATGGCAATTTCTCTTAAAAACTCGCACGTGTCGATGTTTTTTGTAGTAGTATAAATGAAACATTTTTGACTATTGTCTTATCGAAGCAATTCTTTGTTTTCATATGTGTGTTAATTCATTTTGTTTTCAGATCGCATGACAGTAATAAAAAAATTTACCCGTGATGCTCTAAAGAACGGAGGACTTTCATATATATGGATAGGATCAAAATTTTACGTAGGTATGTCTTTCTCTTTTTAATATGTGTTTGTCTACCCCTTCGGGGATGTCGGTATTGGTATGGGTTCCGATTGCCGTGTTTAGACTCAAAAACGGTCCTTGATGCGTGTGGGTATCATTAGCTAGGTGAGCCAACCAAGCTTTCGCAAGCTTCTAGAAGCATCTTTGGATCTGCTATGATACATTCCAAGATTACGTGGGTTTACGATTATTCTGCCTTTAGATTTCCACGGGAAAGGGGCCAGTCTGTTCCAGTTATTCTTTGTATGAATGTACAATACATTGGTTGTATGCTGGTCTTAAAAGCTAGTTTTTGTCTAAGTCTTTTTTTTACTGGTCTGTTCGCTTAGTGGTTAGTGACCCTGATTGTTAGGCCAGAGGTCGTGAGTTCGATTCCCCCTCAAAACAAATAAAAGTGTGATGAGCGTTAATAGGTGAAATTGATGTATTTAGAATTATTTATGTATGTTTATAAGATGTTTGGTTGCCATAGCACAGGCTCTACCTAATTTGGAACCAGACGGCTATGTGTGAGACGTTTAAAAGGTTTTGTTATTGTAATAAACATGTTTCAACAGTTTCAGTGGATGCCGCCGACGTGGAAGTAATTTTAAAAAAATGTTTAGAAAAGGACAACATCCTGCGCTTTGTTAGAAAACTAATTGGAAATGGGCTTGCATTTGCAACAGGTATGCTATGTTATGATAATGACCTAGAAATAAGAGTCTCACAAAATCCAAATACATAAACAAAATTATTCATCAAACTTATTTAATGAAATAACCTTTTTTTTCGTTATTGTCCAAAAAAGTTTACAAGTTACATAATTAAAATACTTAGCCACTCGCTTAAACCACCTAGGTTTTATGAGAGAGAAAGTACGCATAATAATTACAACAAGATCAAATTAAAAAAAACCGGCCAAGTGCGAGTCGGACTCGCGCACGAAGGGTTCCGTACCATTATCTATAAAGACGCCAAAACAATGATATCTGTTGTGTGGGAGCCCTCTAAATCATTTATTTTATTCTGTTTTTAGTATTTGTTGTTATAGCGGCAACAGAAATATATCGTATGGGCGGGCCTGTTGGTCTAGTGGTTAGTGGCCCTGACTGCTAAGCCGTGCGGTCGTGGGTTCGATTCCCACCCAGGACAAATATTGTGTGATGAGCACGGTCATTTGTTCTGTGTCTGGGTGTAATTTATATATAAAATGTATGTATTTAAAAATATATAAGTGTTTATCAGCAGTCTGGTTACCATAGCACAGGCTCTGCCTAGTTTGGGATCAGACGGCTGTGTGTGAGATGTGTGAGGTTATTATTATTATTATTATATGTAAAAATTTCAACTGTCTAACTATTACAGTTCATGAGATACAGCCTGGTGACAGACGAACAGACAGACAAACGGACGGACGGACAGCGGAGTCTTAGTAAAAGGGTTCCGTTTTACCCTTTGGGTACGGAACCCTAAAAACTATCAAAACAGAGATTAAGCAATTTTACTCGTAGATACCTACGCAGCACAGGCACACATACTCGTACACGTGCCTGTATACATACAACACCACATAACAATATTTTCAACCAAGCTATGAAATAGTGGTTTCCATGTTCTCCATGAAATGTTTTTAAAAAAGGTTCGTTAGTGAGATATTTATAAGCTATTTGTTCTGGTAAACCATTTAAAATATTAGGTAGTAGGTATCGACATGTTCTAGTTCCATATAGATTGTTAAAATTTGGCAAAGAATATTTCTTTAAATATAACAGCTGTCTTGTTAATTACTTAATTGCTTTTACGTGTTTATTGACAAACAAACAACATTGTGGTCTGTTTAGAAGTTAAGAACCAAAAAATGTTAAACCCTCTTCTTTGTCTAATTATCATCAATGAACATATTGGTCGGTGATTATCGGCCTATACCTCTTCTATCCAAAGTCTTCAAACGGCTCATCTCTTTCAACTGAGTAACTTGTTTTCCAACAATCCTTGCCTGAACCCCTTCCAATCTGGCTTTCGTCCTGGTTTTGCACTGGTTCACATTACTTACTAGGCATGAATAGTGGAAAGATACTCACCTTACTTGATTTTAGCAACGCCTTTAATATTAAGGATTTTCACTTTTTTTTTGTGCTTGGCATACTGCGGTCTAAATTTTCGAAAAAGTAATAGTCGGTAGGTGCAAGGTCTGGTGGTCCCATCTGCAACCAGCTTTGGTCAATCGGTCGTCCCCACTGCTCCTTCACGACAACGCGCGACCCCATACTGCGCAACAGACAGTCTCCAAGCTGCAAGAGCTGGGGTTGGAAGCTCTCCCTCATCCGCCATACTCACCATACCTTGCACCTACCGACTATTACTTTTTCCAAAATTTAGACAACTTTTTGGTGGGTAAAAAATTCAATTCCCGAGAGGCAGTACAAAATGCCTTTGAAGAGTTTGTTGCCTCCCGTCCAGCTGATTTTTACAAGAAGGGCATCAATAAACTGCCAATGCGTTGGCAAAGATGCGTCGATTGCATGGGTGATTACTTCGAATAACAGAAATAAAAAAGTTTGAAAAAATAAGTACTTTCACTTATTGCATACAAAACGGCAATTTCATAGGTAAACCCCTAACACATAGATACTACTTTATCTTGGGATACCTACACATACACAAGAAGTCAGTCGTAAGGTACTTGCTTCTGCCGGATCCCTACAAAAACCAAGCAATTTTAACTGACTGAAACTAAATCTGCTCTTGCAGAAGCACATTTCCTCCCACTTCTCGACTATATCGATGTCAGCTATCTAATTGTCACAGATGAGCTTGGGCTTGAGCTTACTTCAAATTATTTGTCCGCGATTTGTGTTTGGGATAAGATAATATGATCACATTTCTGAACTCCGTCAGAAGCCCAAGTTGCTTCTGATTCGCTCTCGTGGGAATACTAATATTCTCATTTTTTATTATAACATCTTGTTTAATCTAGGAGCCGTCTCCTACCTTAAAGAACGGTATAAGTTAATTAATGACATATATGAAAAATGTCTAAGTAATCCGAAGATTTGAGATTGGAGATCCTCTGCATTCCACAGAATTTTATGACTCGTCTTTTACCGTTGAAGCTGTATTTGTGGAATGCATTACCGATAAATATTAGGCGAGCGCAAACAACAAATAGTTTTAAAAAATGGTTTAATTTTTTTTAATTATCTTAATTAAATCATTTTCGTATTATGGTATGATGTGTAGGAAAAAAAGTACAGGGTAGTCAAGGTGTAAACAATAAATTACAAGCTAGTAATCTTCTTGATTTCAATAATATATATAGCGATATATCGCGTTATTAGGAAGTGCATGGAAGACACCAAAGTGACAGTATTACTCTTAGTTGTCTTGTCTAATGCCTTTAATACCGTCAATCACGAAATCCTGTTATCTCTCCTTACATATCTTATGGATCTCTCTGAGGCACTGGAACTGGGCGATGCAGAGCCAAACGTGTTAGATGCACAGAAATTAAAAATGTGATTTATTAAAACTATAGCATATATGTATAGAATATCATATAACCAGAGTACTTATATAAATAACATTGGAATAATTTTAAAGATAAATACAATAAGTAATACACATATAATACTAATACACATAATACATAAATATACATACATATACAATTATATACTTAAATACATATAATATAAATTCTAAATGGAGAGAGTATAAAATTAAGATGGATTTGATAGAGTGTTTAAAAAATGTTGCCGCAACAGGTATTTAAATGTTTGCCGAGTTTTTGCCATCCTGATCTCGAGAGGGAGCGCGTTCCATAACAGGACAGATTGTACCAAAAAAGTGGAATGTACGAAGTCAGACCGGTGAGCCGGACAGTGAAGAAGTAGGTTGTCTGAAGATCTAAGATTTTTAGCGTGGTTTGCATCTAAATATTGAATTTGAGAAGTGAGGTAGGAAGGAGAATTTTCGGAAAAGAGTAAAGAATATAGGGTAGTTAATGCTCGTGTCTGTCTGCGTTGGCGAATTGGAAGCCATTTCAAATGAGAGCGATGCTGAGACACGTGATCGTATTTGCGTAAATTGAAAACGAATCGAATGCAATTGTTGAGAAGACGGTCAAGCTTATTGAGCAGATCTGCATTCAGGTCAAAGTAGCACATATCACCATAGTCGATTATAGGGAATACAAGAGACTGAACAAGCATTACCTTAGTTTTCGATGGAAGAGAGTTTCTAAGTCTATAGAGGGCCCGCAGCAAACCTGTCACTTTCTGGCACACAGATGCAACTTGTTGTCGCCAGCTCAGAGTTGTGTCAATATACACGCCAAGGTCTTTCACACTCTCACAGTATGGAATAACCATGCCATCGTAGGTAAGTGGTGGAAGTGAGGCAAGGTCGAGCTGACTCATATCTCGGTTACTCCCGATGACAATAGCCTGATATTTATTTGGATTGACCGATACGCCAAACATATCAGACCAGTGTTTAATGGCTGTAAGTTCACTGTTTATAACCGAAATCGCGGACGATACATTGCACAACTCTGTCTGGTAGTATAGCTGCAAGTCATCAGCGTAGAGATGAAAGGAACACTGAAGTTTTGGGATGATAAGATTAATGAAGATAGAAAACAGAAGAAGTGAAAGAATACCGCCTTGAGTTACGCCATCAGTAAGGAAGAGCTAGAGGAAGAATCTTTGACACTGAGTGACTGCTGACGACCCCGAAGGTAAAAGGAAAACCAGCCCAGTGCATCTTGAGAGACCGAGAAATGGGATAGGACAGCAAGGAGAAGTTCATGACTGACGGTATTGAAGGCATTCGAAAAATCAACCAGTACTATGGTAGTAACCTTATTACTCCATCCCTACCTTAATATCGCCAGTCACTTTAAGAAGAGCAGATGCCGTGCTATGGCCTGGTCGAAACCCTGTAATAATTTTATCTCCTCTCTCATTCTCAATATTAATTAACTCCATAACTCAATATCTGCATGATCTGCAGCTGTATTCACAAACAATATTAGAAGACGCAACGCAGACTTTTGACGAAGTCTAAAAAGATTTGGACTGTCGGTTAATCCAACCAAATGCCAGGCAATCGTAGTAGGCAGTAAACGTATAATGAGCAGATTGTATACTGCCTCTGTCTCATCGATCGTCATCATTGGTTCAGTTTTTCCATTCAGCCCTGCACTTAAAACCTAGGCTTACTCATCGACTCAATTAGCGAGCTTAAGTTCCAGTAACTTGAGCTCGCTCGCGTGAGCCAGAAAGTAACTGGCAACTTGCGAACATTATATCGTCTCAAGAATTTCCTGCCTCCTACAACTAAAACTACACTAATGCCCAATAATTCAAATAATTTGCTACGGTGAAGTATGTTATTTCGACCTGAATGCAGACTTCCTTAATAAGCTAGACCGTCTTCTCAATAACTGTATTCGATACATTTTCAATCTTCGGAAGTAGGTACGTCCATATGTCTGCTTTACGTTTCCAATTAAACTGGTTACCTCGCTTCCTTAATCAGCGTGCACTTATTTCTCTATTTTCGTTTATCAGATCACCGTCCCCACCTACTTAGATCTACAAATTAGAATTCTCAAAAAGTCATCCCCTTCGATATTAAAATTAAATATAAAGGCAACTAATGTAAACTTTTAAACACTGTAAGGTACTTCCGATACACACCAAAATCACCTATTATCTCATTAATAATGATAATAATATTATACCATATTTACGCAACGCCATCTAGTCCCAAACTAAGCAGAGTGCTATGAGTACTAGACAAGTGATATAAATACATATATACTAAAGAACAATTTTTACACTAACATCTTTTATGAAATATCTCATAATAAAATAAGACGACAAAAAACTAACAAGAACTTTATCACAATTAGTGCAACTAACGTCTACGGTGAGAGAACTACTCAGTATATGATTCCTCGGATAATTAATAGCAACGATTGAAGCTTATTTGTTGAACAACCTGTAGATTGGTGCAGATACTTGTTTCAAGACCGGTTTTTGTTAACGTTACGTTACGGTCATGTATTCACGAATGATCTACGGCGTAGGTAATGTGTTTACATACCTAGGTACAACACATTTATGAAGGATGTATTTATGTATATCATTCTGGGCAAATCTATAGTTGTGTTTGGAATGCTTATTGTAAAACATTGTATTCTTTCGATGAAAATAAAATAAATAAAAAAAACTTATATTTGATTAGTGGATAGGTACTCGTACCGGAAGTGGTAACTTTCGGTACCTATCCACTAATCTCAATAATCTGCTTCTCCTATGCAACAGCAATTTCATAACAGTTTTCCATAATAATAATATTTATGCCATGCACAAAAACTTAAATAATACAATTTGTGACACACTTGAGTGTATAGTTTTTTAGCCTATTCTTCATAAGGTCAATAAGATCAGGTGAATTCAAAAGGCCATGAACGGATCTAACTTCATTTCAATCATAAGTAGCACACTCTACTTACTGTATTTTGATCATTCAGTTCCAATCTGGAGACCACGTCGCAAGATCAGCGCACCTACCTTCAGCCAAGCCAACCTGAACATGTTTGCGAAAGTATTTGCTGAACAAAGTGAGAGTATGGTGAAGCAAGTGAAGTCAACCTTCGGCGATGGAGCGGAGCCTTTGTGGAAGTACATGGCTAAATACACCTTTCACTCTGTCTGTGGTTGGTAAACACTGTTCTTTCATCGTTTTTGATAAAACATTCGTTCTCAATAAATAAGTGGGCGAACTAAACCTGAGAGTTCGATTTAAAAATGTAAAGTGGATACGAAATATGCCAACTTGAACAGGATTTTTGTATTGTGAATGTTTTTCATGCTTTTTAATTTTGCCATCCGGTGTGCCAAAACGTTGGGCCTCCGGTAACCTAATTGACTCGGTAAAAAACCAGACAAGAAATTGCCTTGGTATCACTTCCGCCTATAATATGTATGGGCCGGCCGTCCTTTTTGGTTAGATTTACTAAAAAAGCATATTTTCTTTGAACAATACACATTCTTTCAGAAACCCAAGTGCTAAACATCGGCACGACATGGCATTTTGACGTTGCTAGTTATGATTAAGGCAAGTGTGGCCCATACTGAAGTAAGAGCATAAACTTTTTATTTGTGGTATTATTTCTCGGGTCGTATTCCGGTATCTAGTGTATTCTTAATAGAAGTCTTCACTGGATCATTAAATTATTATTTTTTTTCTTTTTCCAGAAACAGCACTTGGTGTAAAATTGAAAGTGAATGGAAATACGGAAAAGCAACTAATGGAATCCTTTGACATTCTTCTTAAACTGATGACGACACGTATGGTGGAGCCCTGGTTGCAACTGGATGCGCTGTACAAGCTATTACCACAACACAACAATTTTGAGAAAAATAAAGAAATTTTACGTAGTTTTGTCAAAGAGGTAATCATATCTCTGGCTCATATTTCTGGGAAGTATCATATTTCTGGGCTCAATGCAAATTAAAAGATACCTATAGTAATCGTAAATCTAGAGTCCGTAACGTAACTTTCGTAGCATGTACCACTTTAGTATCAGCATTTTTTGGAATGTACGAGAAAGAAACCACACTGATCTGACTTAACGTAGTTTGCGCGCTAAGCGTAGCGAGGCTTCTGTTAAAACTTTTTCGGTCTACCTATAGCCTGTTGTATTGTTACAGCGGCCGTTGTCCGTGGCTTTAGCCAAAAGCGAAGTTGGTGTCTTTTCTTTGCAGCTCCTCTTTGATAATTAAAATCGTTTACAATGTCTTATAATTACTTAAGTACCGAAAAATATCAACCTTTATAATGGTATACCATACCATTCACACAGTAGCCATCTCTCAGCTATCTTATTTTATGAAAAGAATTGCATATTAAATTTCCATTTTCCTGCATATATGTAGACTATACTTGACTATAAAAGTATTAAGTGTGGGTCATATTAATGTTTACAGATTTGCAATTACGGTTCAACATTAATATGAAAATATAATTCGTTCTGTTATTTACAATATGAGATACAGATAGAGTGAAATTTAGTTCTTTTTATAATTTATATTAATGTTAGAGTATATCAAAGGCAATGCTTGTTTTCCGTGTTTCATCTGCTTAAGTTTTAATGTGGTAATGTTTTATCTAGCTTTTTATTTCAGATAATCAAAGAAAAGCGTAAAAAAAATAAAGAAAATATTAAAACTGACAATGGTAAGTTATGTACTGTAGCCGCTTTTCTTCTCAGGCGGACTACTCACCGGCTGACCCAGTGGAGAGATTCACAAGATTACCTCAGGGCGCCTTTTATTAAACAGAAGTGTGTGTCTTGACCCGAAATCTGGGACCCTACGAATGGATTAGCACTCATATTATCGATCAGGTGCCAGAAACAAATAAGTACAAGAAAAATTAAGAATATACTCACCACTTTCGTGGGTACTTTGAACAGATAAAATATTACGAAAATAAAATCACCAGACAAACAAAATACTATTTAAGATTGGAAGACAAGTTAGCAGAGTTAGCAGAGTGTCCCCTGTGGCTGCAAGCCGGACTTATATATGTTCGGTTTGTGAAGTTTCCAGAAAGAATCCCTACTTTAACATTTCAAACTGTCACTCAAATTATTATCTAGGTTAACACGAACTAAATCAAAAGTAACTCGCTTCCTACCATAACAGGTCACTTATAACACCAATACAATTTATCATGATAAATTAACAAAATGACTTATCTATAAAACAAACGCCATCTAGTGGTCCGATGGCGGACGAAGAACATCAATACTATAGCTACAAACTACCTAAGATAAATCAACAAATGCGACGGGGGGCAATAGATGTCGCTTTTGACAACTCCGTACGCAATACAAATATACTAAAAAAATAACTGTTACAATACTTCAAAACTATGAAAAAAAAAACTAGTAAATGGCAACGCGATTGTGACACCTGCGTTGCAGGTAAATCGTCTCTACTCGTTTGTGCCCTGTATAAACAAAGTGTGTGTGTGTGTATTCACACATGGCTGAAGTGAAACTGCCGAAAAAGAGTTTTTTTTTTTATCTACCCTATAAAATTTTGCCCAGCCTAGTAATCGAACCGAGGCAGCGTTTTTCAAATTCCACGCGAACGAAGACGCGGGTACCAACTAGTATTAAATAAATATATAAAAATATTCACACTGCCAAAATATTATATTAAAAATAATGTGTAATGTATTCTATCTCATTCTCTCGCCGACTTAATCCTATACATTTATGTGTTTGTTTCTTTATCGTGACACATTTTCGTTTCATCGAGTTTCAAATCACAGTGATTCTAAAGAAGTTTCACTTAAAAAAAAACTAACTCCACTCACATCACATCACATCAACAGCCTTTAATAGTCCACTGCTGGGCATAGGCCTCTCCTTACAAAGAAGGTTTTGGCCTACTATACCACGCTGGCCAGACGGGTTGGTATAGGGTTTGTGTCAAGTTTTCCGTCTTTTTGCAGTGCTGGTGTCCTGCGTTGTTTTGCGCCCTTAGTCGGCTCTTACGACACCCACGGGATGAATTGGGGTAGTGACATTCCGTATTCTTAATCCGTCACCACACGGACTCCACTAGCTTTTAGAAACTATAATAATAGCTGACCAACAACGCAGGAGCCACAAGAGTGTCAGAAACGAACTGATGCGTAGTAGTATTAGAACCAATACTACGAGCTTTTATAGAATGAAACGGTAGGTTAAGTCACGTTGGTAAATACTAATTATAAAGTAAATACTAAATCGAAATTAATTTAGAGGAATTGACCTTTTTTGAATTGGACATTTCGGGCATTAGAAATTTGAAACCGTTGGACGATAGTCACCATTGGGTAGGTATAATAGTCAAGCTATCAAATACTTATGGTAACATCCATTCTTATATTATTAATGTAAAAGTCAGTTTTGTGTGTAGTATAATTATAGTAGTGTCTAACAGAAAAAGCTTAGCTGAAACTTTCTATGGTGAAAGAATTTTGAGAAAAAATACATTTTCTCATTAATAATAAAAGTATGGATAGGCGAATACATGACATTCTAAATTTCATGTATTCGCCTATTTAATTATAATGTTAACGAAGCTTTTCACAGCTAGCAATGACTTTTATTTGATGACAATAATAAAAATATATATGTCATATAATCAGTTATTGTAGATTCACTCATCAACTACTTATGCTATCATCATCACATCACATCAACAGCCTTTAATAGTCCACTGCTGGACATAGGCCTCTCCTTAGAAAGGAGGTTTATGCCAACGGTTATGCTTATGCTAAGGTAAAAAAATGTAGGTGACTATTTTATTTATGCAGTTGATACACTTATTAGAAGATGGCAATGCGCAGAAGTTTTAAAATTTTTTTTGCCTATGAATGATCACCATGCTACGTGATATTAACAGTCAGTTGTTTCACAATACGGGGACGTCCGAAAAGCATTTATTATACGCCAATAGTCTGTCGCTGACCTATTATTTCATTAGACAAATATGTTTAAAGCTTAGAATAGAAATAAGTTTAAAGAAAGTGTCTTAGAAAGAAATTAGCAGCCTTTAAAAAATAATTCCTGTGTTTAATTTTGTTATTAAATATAATTATAAATGTTGACATTCAATCCTTTTACTCGATATCGTTGATTACGATATTAACATTTTCACTTGTTATGTAAATTCAAACCCCCTCCAAACCCAAAGTGACGAAGATTTATGTCGGTATGTCCTAGGGTCTATTTCAAAACCGCCTTTGCCAGTCGTCAATCTGTTAGTATTACATGTAAACTTTATAACCACATAAACAGAGAAGTAGATATTGTAGGTCTCAGAAGACACGCACTTAAAAATAAAATTACAAACTGGCTTCAGAAGCTAAATTATCAGGAAACAGAAAATTTACTGCAAACAATTAAATAATATAGTTCATTCTACTCTCTTGTGATAAACTAGGTATCTTCGCGTTTTTCACACTCGACTCGCACACACGATAACACACACAAACACACACACACACATACACACTCACACACACTCACACACACACCTTCACGTCCTTACGCTACACAGTTTTTATTATACCTATTTTATTTTTATTGTTATGTATCTGTATTGCAAGTGCCCTATATTTCACTTTAGCGTAATCTTACATGTAAATTTTCCTGCGGCTGGATATTGTCATCCAAAATACAGGCCTCGCCTACTTTGGTAGACAGCATTTAGTACCGTCAGTGTCATAGATTTTGTACTATTGTGATATTGTACCTCAACAGTGAGTGTAATTTTAAATGCAATAAAGATTATTATTATTATTAAATTTACAAGAACATAGATTGTTAATTTATATTATCCAAACAGATGACACCAAAGTTACAAAGAGCTTTCTGGATCTCTACATAGAATCATCTGGCGGCGATCGTGGCTGTACCGACGAGGAGCTACTTGAAGAAACTCTTGTCATGCTGTTAGCTGGTACCGATACTTCTGCTGTCGGATTATGTTTTACTATTTGTATGTTGGCTCAGTACCCTGATGTGCAAGAAAAAGTGTTCCAGGAGTAAGTTGTGCCATTACAGAAATTTGTTTATGACTTTTCTATGTTAGGTAACCTGTTTAAAAAGTCGTTTAAATTTTAAATTAAAACAGGTTGCCATTACCATGCGTTTGGTGTTGTTACCATTAGTGTTAGAGAAAAAAAAAAAAACAAAATTAAAACGGTATACTTAAATAGTTTTAAGATTACATTAAAATTATTTTGAAGGTTGCAAGAAGTGTTTGGTGATTCAGAGAGACAAGTAGTCGTCGAAGACTTGCCACGTCTCAAATATTTAGAAGCTGTGTTCCGAGAGAGTCTACGTTTGTATCCACCAGTGCCTGTAATTGTAAGAGCGATCAATGAAGATACAAAACTGCGTAAGTTATTTTGAATATGGTATTTAACGAATGAGGGATTGAGAATGTTTAGGAATCATTAACTCAAACGGAGCAAATCATTAGCTAATTTAAAAAAAAGTGTTACAAATATTGGGATTTATATGAATAACTCAAAATTTTAAGTTTTCAACAACAGTTCTTTTACTCGGATTTTGTCATTAAACTCGACTTGACATTTTACGGCTACTGGTGTTAGTTATCTTTTACTAAATTTCCTCTTTAATAAATATTTATATTAGCAGACTGAAATAAACAATACATAGAAAAATTATATTTTTTCAATAATCTAAAATATGATTCGTTTTAATTAAAATTCTAATCTTGTTGGTATCTTAAACTGTCTATTAGGATTCCCAATCATTAAAACTGTTTTAAAAAAAATATCTAAATTTAGCATCGGGCGTAACTTTGAAAAAAGGATGTGGCTTTTTGGCACTTATTTGGGGCTTACATCGCAATCCTTTGTATTGGGGAGAAGACGCAGAGCAGTTCCGGCCTGAACGTTTTCTTGAAGGACATTCGAGGCATCCAGCTGCCTTTGTAGCATTTAGCCACGGACCTAGAAACTGCTTAGGTGAGTAACACTATAATATTATTATCCTTAAGTGTTTGACCCGGCAATTTAATTCGTTATAATAAATCAAAATAAGGGCAACACTTTCCCCTCTGTTTAAACGCTTTCCAAATTGAAGGTTCCTTAACGCAATAAATACTAAACTATATTCTTGATACTGCATTGATTTTCAGCTTTATAACGGGTTTCAAAAATGGATATTAGACCAATCAGTGAACGCGACTAAGTGATGAAATCGCTAATGTAACTTTAAGTAATGTAAACGTTATTTATGTTACAGGATACCAATATTCCATGATTTCATTGAAAATAGCACTTGCAACATTTCTGAGAACCTACCGCGTCCTGCCCAGACATGACAACAGCGGCAGCGGCGAAGTGGACCAGGAACCGATGAAACTTTCCTATGATATCATGATGAAAGATGTTGACGGATTCAAAGTAAGATTAGTCGAAAGGAAGAATGATGAAGTATTTTAAATTGTATTTAGCTTTTAATTCCTTAATGATTAAAATGTCTCCTCTGGTTCTCTTTTGTAGTCTCCATTTTTGTCAGTTTCTTTTGGTGTGTGATTAAATTAACCTTTCGGCGAAATATACGAATATTATTTATATATATTTATATATTTTTTTTAATAAATTTGAAAAAAAGCGTTTGGTGCCTGTTGCCAGTGGTAAAAAGCACCCCACGCTTGCATGCAAATTTATTAAAATTTATTTTCTATTTTTTAGTTTGGTTTCCTATAAAAGCGTGTTTTTTCGTTTTTTTAACGTATATTTTTTTTAAATTAGTGTATTGTCATCGGTCCTCGATATATCTACAAAGTTTGAACGAATTCTGACCGTTTAAAGTCAGTCAAAATCACGCCCAAAGGAGTCGGTTACAAACATACAAGTGAAGCTTATATAAAGCGTGTAATAGGTTTCATCTGGAGCCCAGTGGATTTCTTTGGAATTCTTTAATATTTAAACTTTTATATTTGCTACGAAGTATATTATTATTTAGTATAATAGCTTCTGGTGATGTGTCAGATATCTGTCTAATTGATGTCCGAGAGAGTAAAAAGATGTATATCCGTGTCCGTATCCGTTACTTTTCGGCTTACACTTTGTGTGATCCACAAATTGTTGTTCTGAGTCTGTGTGTTCTTTGTGTCCGTTTCATGTATTCCTAATGCGGGAGTTATCTTTTAAAACGAACGAACGAATAAAAAACATTTAATCTACATTAGATGTTTAATATTTAAGTTATCCGTATGGTGAAGGATTAAGAATACGGAATGTCCCAAAAATGAAATTTATATATTTATATAAAATACATGAAATTTAGAATGAATGTATTCGCCTATCCATACTTATATTATTAATGAGAAAGTGTATTTTTTCTCAAAATTCCTTCACCATAGAAAGTTTCAGCTAAGCTTTTTCTGTTAGACACTACTATAATTATACTACACACAAAACTGACTTTTACATTAATAATATAAGAATGGATGTTACCATAAGTATTTGATAGCTTGACTATTATACCTTTTTTTTTTTTTTTTTTTTTTTGTTAACGGGGGGAGATCCTCATGGATGTCCTCCGCCCAGGGGAAAGGGCGGAGGGGTCTGTCAGACTCCTACTGACTAAAACCCCCCGGTGTTCCGTCTCTCACCTACGCCGGGGATCGCGGGAACTGAGGTGACTTCCGCAATCCCCGACTGGTGCCGGCCCGCCGCTGATGGCCACATCGCGTCAGCGAGGGGAGTGAGGTGTTTGACTCCCCTCGCAACTACACAGAGGGGCGCACGGGAACACAACGCGCCGCCACCTCGGGTCCAGATGGGGCGACGAACATCCCCAAGTCCGCCGCCCCTGGACCCAGCTAGGGGGGCCGGTGGAGGGCAGCATATGCCCTCCTCCGACGCCCGGTGCGCCTGCTGCGGATCGGGAGAGAGGTCAGGATCTCCCTCTCCCTCTCCGCAGCCTCCTTCTGCGAGATAACCTTTTCGCAGAAGGACGCCACCGCGTCCCAGGACTCCTCGCTGTCGACCATAGAACGAACTACGGCTGGCAGCGAGAGGTCACTGCCTACTACAGATATGAGGGCACGGCGCGGCTCCTCCCAGGCGGCACACTCTGCCAGCGTATGCCGCGCCGTGTCCTCCCGACAGTCGACGCAGTGGTGACACCGAGCGTCCGGCTCCCTGCCTAAGCGACACAGGAACCTCCCGAAGCAGCCATGCCCAGAGAGGACCTGCGTCACACGGAACGACAGGGAGCCGTGCCTTCTGTCGAGCCAGAGGTCGAGCACTGGCCGGATGGCCTCGATAGTAACGAGGCCGGCGGAAGGGCGTGACAGCCTGTCCCGCCATTCCACCACCAGGACCTCGCGCAGCTGTGACCGACGCAGCTCGATGTCTCGCTGCGCCAGTCCCTCACCGCGAGCCCGCGCGTCCTCACGCCACCGATGCAGTGACGCGAGGACTTTTGCCTCCAGGTCCCAGGGCGGAGATCCGGCCAGTACGCAAGCCGCCTCGTGGGAGATCGTGCGATAACCCCTAACGACTCTGACGGCCATCACCCTCTGCGGCTTCCGCAGAACTGTGATAGCGCCGGCCGTCAGGTCAGCCGCCCAGATCGGGGCCCCATATAGGGCCATCGATCGCACGATCCCCTCGTACAGCCGCCTGCAGGCGGCTCTCGGGTCCGACTTATTGGGAAGCAGCGTTGACAGCGCCCCAGCCGCGCCCAACAACTTGGGCGCCAGCCGCCGGAAGTGGGGGCCAGGATCCCACCGGCTGTCGAGCACCAATCCTAGATATTTTAGGGTGGACTCGACAGCGATTCGAGCCCCCCCAACCACCATGTGCAATCCCGGCGGCGGCGCCCGTCGGGGGCCATGAAAAGCTATGGCCTCCGACTTGTTGAGGGCCACCTCCAGGCCAAGGCGCCGTATGCGGCTCACCACTTGTGAGACCGCTGCCGTCGCTAGCAACGCTGCCTCCCTGTACGAGCTCCCCCGGGCAGTGACCAGCGTGTCGTCAGCGTAACACGTCAGGTCCACTCCCGGTTGGAGCTCGCCCCTCAGCACCCAGTCGTAACCGATGCTCCACAGGAGCGGGCCTAGGACTGACCCCTGCGGAACACCGCACGACATTAGGCGCTGGTGTTTGCCATCACGTCCCAGATAGGTGACACACCTCTCTGATAGATACGCCCCAACGATGCGGCGGAGGTGGGGAGGCACTTGATGGTAGCGCAGTGCCTCCCGAATACAACTCCAGGGCAGGGTGTTGAAGGCGTTGGAGATGTCCAAGGACACCGCCAACATCACCCCGCCGCGGGACACCGCTTCCTCCGCCAGGACTCTCATTCGCGAAATCGCCGTAATAGTCGAGCGCCCATGACGAAACCAGAACTGGCACTCGGCCAGGTCCGGCCCCTCCTCACACAAGTGGCGGACGAGGCGGGCTGCAACTATCCGCTCGAACAGCTTTCCCACCTCGTCCAGCAGCACTATGGGCCGGTACGCGGACGGCGAGTCCGCAGGGCGCCCCACCTTTCTGAGCAGGACCAGACGACCCGTTTTCCACTGAACGGGAAACTGGCCCCGCTCCAGGCACGCTGAGTAGAGTCCTATCAATTGGGGCTCCAGCTCCTTCAGAGCCAGGGCCAACACGCAACCGTGAATGCCATCGGGCCCCGGGGCAGTATTCTTCGCCCGGAGCCGTATCACGGCCGCCCCCAACTCTGATTGTGTCACCTCTGGGACGTTGGCGTCCTCTTCTTCAGACTCCGCGGCTGTGGGCAGAGCCATCGGCGGCGGAGTGTGCTCCGCTTGAGCCGGGAAGAGGGCTGCGACTACGTCCTCCAGCAGCTCGGGTTGGAGACTCTCCGTAATTGGCGGCGCCCATGGGCCGAGTTTCCCTCGGACCGAGCGATATGGACGCCCCCACGGATCCCCGTTTAGAGTCTCCAACATCTCCTCCCTAGCTCGCGTCTTCGCCTCGCCGATGGCCAGCCGCAGAGCCTCCTTAGCCGCGCGGTACACCTCATACAGCGCGGCTTCTTCATCAGGAACCCGACGACGTCTTCTCCGGTATCGGGTGTACTGGCGCCTGACTCGAACGCACGAGACGCGCAACTGCGCGATCTCGGCGGACCACCAGTACACCTGGCGTCTTCTGGATTGTGTGTGGATCCGGGGCATGGACGCGTCACTAATTTGCGTCATTGCCCCGTGAAACCACTGCGCCTCCTCTTCGACGTCAACGGGTCCGGTCGTTGCCGACTCCCAGATCCAGGCCTGCACAATAGCGGCCTCCTCGAGTAGCTCCCTGTCGAGGCGCCTACGCGCCCAGCGAGGACCGTCCATTCGCGGGGTCGACGAACTGCGGCCGCCCGCAGCCCGGGCGGAGACGCTGAAACGGATGTAACGGTGATCCGACAACGTCTCCACCCCCACAGCGACACGCCAGTTGCTGACACGGCTCGCGACAGCGGGACTAGCGAACGAAACGTCCACTATGGAACCGCCCCGCTGTCGCACGCACGTGTAGGCCGAGCCCCGATTCAGGACGGTCAAGCCGGTCGTGACCGCCCACTCCTCCAATGCCTCACCTTTGGCGTCGGTGACCGGGGACCCCCACGCCGCAGACTTGGCATTGAGATCCCCGAGCAGCAGCACCGGGCGAGGATTGTACCGGTTCACGACGGCACCCAACTCGACAAGGAAGCTCTCGAAGTCGGCGAGGCTCCTGTTGGGCGAGAAATACGCCCCAACAGTGCCAATGCCGTCCACGAGGGCGGCCACCCAGCCGTGACCTCGGGACGGGTCAGCAAGAGCCCCGCCAATGATGGCCACCGTGCCGTCCAAGTCCCCCGCCCAGTTATCTCGGAGCGGGACATAGTACGGCTCGGCGACCACAGCCACATGAATCGACCACTCCGCCATGCTCTGGATCAAGAGATCCTGAGCCCTGGCAGAGTGGTTGATATTGCCCTGGAGGAAATGGAATTGCGCCATTAAGCACAATCCATTCCCTCGGCACTCAGAGAGCCACCAGGCTGAGGTACAGCCTTGGTTGGCCTCCTCTTTTTCTTGCCCTTCTTTTGGGCGGGGGCACCACAGGCCTTCCCGGCCATGCTGTGGTCCGCGGGTCTCCCTGCAGCTGTACAGAGGCTGCAGTTTGGCTTCGCGGAGCACTGGGCCGCTCTGTGGCCGGGCTCACCGCAGCGGTAGCACTGATCGCTGCGGTTAATTGCGGCGGTGCACCGCACCCCGACGTGCCCAACCTCAAGGCATCGGTAGCACCGCATAGCCCTAGGTTGCAGCAGCTTCACCCGTGCCGCAACCCACCCCACCAAAATCCGTCCGCTGTCTGCTATCTTTTTCGCCGCCGCTGCCGGACACTTCAGCCAAATGGTGCCGAGCCCAGCAGCGCCGACGCGAATCTCGCCAGCCCGCACGTCACCCGGCGGACAGCCACTGCTT